TCCCCTTTAAAGCGTTTTCTAAGCCTGCTTGTACCAGGCCACTTCCACAAATAAAGTACTTTATGTTGTTTGTGGTCAAACATTTTATGCTAATAATGTTTTCAAATTCCACCCTTAAATATATATCAGTTCACATGTTAACAGCAACCTTATATTGTCAGGATGCTTCCCTGTCAGAGCTGAAGATCAGCAGTGGAGAGACTTTAGTCATCACAGAAGGACAACTGCCTCCACTGGTACTTAAATATTTAGATATGGACGGGAGATTCGTCACTGCTTTTGGCCAAATACCAGCCAGACAAATACACCTGGGAAGAAATCTCCAGCTGGGTAAGATTACCAGAGTTATTTCTTGAGAAGGAACCCGGTTTAGATGTTGGGGTAATCCAATTTGCACTTTCTTGCAAACTTTCTTTCTTGGTTTGCTAAATTATCAGAGAGCTTGCAAAAAGCATTAGAGAGGAATGTTGAGTGCATGAAATGTAACATAGTGGCTAACAACAGACAATGACATTCATTATTTTTCATTAGGAATTTATAGCATTTTTATTATACAAGTGAAGAGGTTATCCCCAGATCTCCTTCTTTTATGTGTTGCTCATTCATTGTCATGTTATCAGTGAATATTGTGTGCATTTTTTACTTTCAGAGTCAGCAGGTTTCCAAAAAGAAAAAGAAGAAAAAGGTGGAATCACTACTGGCAGGGCCATTCCACCTCAAAGATGGAGACACAATTGGCATCAAGGTACTGGGGGAAAACAGGTTTTTGTTTTAAAACTAATGTATTTAAAATTATGTATTTGTTTATTTTTGTTAAGAAACACTGATCTGTTTTTGATTGTTCTCTTCAGAATCTTTTGATTGACAACAACAAGGACTTTATCACCCTGGAGGATGAGCAGGGCCAGCAGAGGCTCCGAGAGCAGGCAGAGCAACGCGTGAAAGGGTAGGACTTTACTTTGGGTACATCTCCTGTCTCTTATAAGATCATTCTTATGTCCTGGGCCCTCAGTGGACACAAAGTTGTTCCGGTCGACAGAGGATGTAGGACATTCCGAGTCTCTTATATCGGCTCTGTGGACTGTGCTTGAGGAGCCATAACCAAGGATACATGAGGCCATTTTTCACAGAAGTGTTTTTGTGAACAGACGCGTCCGTTTATCAGAAATCTGTTGGTGAATGGATGCTTCAGATGAAGAATCCTAAAAAGACAGCTCATGTCGGTAATAACGTTTTTCCTCAAGGTCTTTCTCCTCACATTTTCCTCACATCTTATGTGGGCAGGACCAAGGCAAGGAAAAGATGTAAGTGAGGGAAATAACGGTTCTTATAAGAGACTTGGGATGTACCCTTTGACACGTAAGCAGCAGGGAAGTGCTTGTTACGTTGTATAGTATTTGGGATTTTGGCTTTATAGACGTTGCTGCTTTAACTGACTGATAAGACGTCTGTGTTTATGTATAAAGCCAGGAACAATTTATTACCTGGTGGAATTCAAAAACTATTTAATGAAAGGGAAGGGGGATACAATTTAAGGGGTCAGCGCTCTAAAGTGTGCATAGACACATCAATACTACAGAATACACACACACACACACACGCCACATTGCAAATAGGACAATCCACTTAATGTCAGTCTTGTGCCTTTTTAAAACAGTTTTTCTCCACAGACTTTTTAAACCAAACAAAATCAAACCTTAATTCCCCCCAGCTTTTCATCTGTCTGATTTTTTTTATTTTTTTATAAACACAGGAAGTGAAGGAATTTAATCCTGGTTACTTTGATTTGCTGCTTGGTAATAACTGGCTGTAATTTTAATAATTTCTTTTTTGTCTTTTCTCTCTACAAGTTATCAGTTCTAGCCATCACACATACTCATTTTAATTAAAGCACTATTTTTATATTTTCTGAGAGATATTTGAGGACTGTTGATCTTCAGGAGAACTTTTTTTTTTTTTTTCTTTTGCTGTGTGGATCAGTAGCCAATTTGTAACCTTACCGTAAGTATCAGCCAAGACAAACCTGTTTCTGCTTTGTTGCTTTTACACTGCTATTATTATTACAAACTTGTAGTGAAATACTGTAACGAAGCAGTCACTGTTAACTTGAGTTTCTGTCTCAGATACAGTTGTGTAGAAACTCCGTAGCAATCAGGCTGAAAATTCCTGCTTGTAGCCAGTGGCTTGAAAATGTATGATTTCTTCAACAAATTGTCCAGTGCAAAAAGCCATTGAAGTAGGAGATGTCCTGGTGGTGGTCTTTATAGGGTAATGGATTCAGTAAGTGTCTTTTTTTTTTTTATAACAAACCTATCACTGTGTGCCTGTGAGCAAAAATGTTTATCTGGATCTTGGACTGGTTAGATGGGCTTATTTTAGGTTGATAAGGGAGAGGCGAGATGGGCCTTTATATGGAGAAGCCTCAGTGCTGCTCTGTCACCCTACCTCACTCACTGCTTCTCTTACTCTACCTCTGCTACCCTGTTGTTTGTCCTCACAGTTCTTGCTGTCATTTTGTAATTTTATTTTCCTCATCCTAAACCTCTGCTGTGTTCTATTGCGGTTAAAATATTGTAGACAGCGACACAACATTTCATGTTATGGCTCTGTACACTTTGTACTTTGGGTGTGAAATGACGCATGCAGCTGCAGCGTAAAAGTGTAGATCATCTGCCTTTTTGAAATTCAAGTCATTTATCAGTGGTTAAATAACTTTGTCCCTTTACTGGACAATATCCACCCTCTTCAGATCTGAAAATTAAAGCAGACAATCTAAGCTTTCATCTCAAACTCTCATTTCACATTTGAAGGGCCTGTCTTGAGCAAAAGCACCTTTGTGTTATATAACCATTTGTGATCCTGGATGAATTTGCTGTTCACCTCTGCTCCAAGTATAAACTGTCAAACACATTCAAATGCTGCCACCATGTTGATTTGAAGATCCCTGAGTTTCTACGTAAGTTTTCATTGAGGAACATTTAGTATTTCCTTTGCATGCACTATATGTGATCTTCAGGGAAGTGAAAATGATTTAACAAATTTATTTTAAACTGACAAAACTCTTACTGTATAAATTGTTTTTGGGAGAAATTTGATTTTGTTAGAAAAGATTTTCTATGCTGCTTTGTATATAATATTCCTTGTGCCAAGAATTTGCAAGCAGAAATTCAGTCTTTTTTTCTTTTGAAGCAGATGTTTAAAAACTGACTATACTTAGCAATTGTGAAATTTCGTTTTGTATGATGTATCATGTACCAGTGTTATTGATTACATCATTAGTGTTATAAGAACTGATCTGCCATATTATGACAGTGGAACTCTGTATCCAGATTGTATTTACAGAAAGTATTTCATCAACATTAAAGATGTATAGTAACGACTGTCAGTCATGTCATGTTAATATAGCTGAATATTTTCTGTGGCAGGAGTTTGTTTTAGTTTTCTGAATAGCAGCAGTGGTCATTCAGTCCACCGCTTTGGTCTGGATTGAAATATCTTAACTACTATAGAACTGATTGCCGTTAAATTTCACACAATCATTGATGGTTCCCAGACGATGTATCATAAAGACCTTAGAGATTCAATGACTTTTCCTTTTGGTGCCACCAATTTATCCTGTGAAATATTTAAGCAAATGTTGCGTAGTCTAATGTTGAAATATGGGGGGAAACGTTTGTAGTGCGTGTCTTTATAGTAAATAATTGTCCTGCACTAATTACACTTCGGTCCGTGTTTATCACGGAAAGGGGTATCCCTGTACCGGCGACGACCAATCAGAGTTCAGGCAGCGTTTAGCATGTCCAATCAGATTTCACGTTGCGTTTACGGTCCTGCCCCGTTACAGTATTTATTCGGCCGGCACAGGTACTGTAAATCGTACTGCACGGTGACTAGACTGTTGGACGGTGAACCATTGGCCTGGACCATTAACGTCTGCTATCATGGTTGATGCTTTCTGCGCTACGTGGAAACTGATCGACAGCCAGAAATTTGATGAATACATGAAGGCACTTGGTAATTTTGAATTGATTTTTAGTGTTTATTCAAAATCTGAGGCAGTTATACTGTACCCTGTGAGCAAAACGGTCAACTGTAGGCAACTTTTGACCGATAATTCCTAGATGGCAGTGTCATAATTTGTGATGCTTCACTGATGGCTTTTTTTAAGAGTACTTTTTAAAAAACATTGATTGATTGGCAGGAGTTGGTTTTGCCACAAGACAAGTGGGCAATGTCACAAAACCAACGGTAGTGATCTGCAAAGATGGAGACAAAGTGGTGGTGAAAACCCTGAGCACCTTCAGAAACACTGAGATCTCCTCCAGACTGGGAGAGGAGTTTGATGAGACCACACCTGATGACCGGCATGTCAAAGTAAGCTGAGTATCAAGTCAGTAAGTTGTGCTCAGATGCTCACTTAAGATTTTTTGGAGGTTGTTTTAAATATACTGTTTCTCCTTGCAGTCTACCTTCACTATGGAAGGAGATAAACTTGTCCATACGCAGAGGTGGGATGGCAAAGAGACCAAATTTGTTCGAGAAATCAAGGATGGAAAAATGGTGATGGTAAGATTAAATAACTGTCTTGTAGTATGTGCCACTGTGATAACATTTATTAGTTTTTATAGAGCCCTTTGCTCTATAAGCAAAGTTTCAAAGTGCTTATGTCAAGCAGTCTTGAATTGCCTTGATAAAAAGTGCTGCTCAAATAAACTTGCATCATCTTCCCTTATAACTGATAGACTATCATACGACCCAAATGGACTGCAGGAAACTTACTTTATATCCAGGATGAATGGTTTCTAGACACTTAAAACACATTAAAATCACAACTAAATCTGAACTGCCATCATGTAATATGCTCTGTCTCCCCCTTGTCCCCTTTGCTTCCACCAGACTTTGACCTTTGAAGGAGTCCAGGCAGTACGCACATATGAGAAAGCCTGACCTCGCCTATCTGAATGAGCAAATCATACTGATCAACAAGGTGTTCTTCATTTTTCTATAAACAGTTTTCATTGCATATAGTAATTTGCACTTAATTTGTCATTTTAACATTAGATTAATATTCCAGGGAATCTTTTGTAAGAGCTTTTGTAAGAAATTCAGCGAAGGTCCTGAGCTGTTTTTTCTGTGTAGCATGTGCAAAATGGGGAAAAATAAACTGCTTATTTAAATCATCTTAAGGCATTTCAGTTGGTATTTAAAAGTCATCAGCGCATCAGTACCATTTCAACTTGACAGTATGCTCTTTTTTTCTTATAAGGCTTCTCTCTCTCTCTCTCTCTCTCTCTCTGTCTGCTGAGCAGAGAACTTTCAAAATAAAAACATATACAAAGTTGATTCTTGACATCTGAATTTATATAAGGCTTCTCTCTCTCTCTCTCTCTCTCTCTCTCTCTCTCTCTCTAGCAACTTTGAATGCAGTGCTACATTTTTATTCATATATGCCTAAATTGTGGGAACAGTGCAGTCCCTGTGATGGGTCAGTTCCAGGTGACAGCTGCAGGGTGACAGTGCAGGACAGAGCCAGCCGTGTAGCAGCAGCAGCAGCCAGTGCGAACTCAGAACTCATGGGAGTGAATGTCTTTTAGTAACCCCCAGATGGTCAGGAAGGGCTGGAGAGGTGGGGGTGGTTATGTCATTTGCCTAGGCCTAGGGATAAGCCGGTTAAACTTGTGGTGTCATTACGTAGAGGCATCGTTCGATGGTGTGGACCAACCATGATTTAATGCTGCCGCTGTCACACCAGGCAGGCAGTAAGTTACTGTAGTTCAAAATCCAAAATAGAATCTGTCAGTAAACCTTTGCTGAAATGGTGTTCTTACATATTTATTTTAAACAAGAGGATGTCCCTCAGTTTTAAAGTTCATGTTCATTTTAATTACTGTAAAGTTCCCTTATCTATCCCTCCATATTTTTCAAGTTAAAGCCTAATAGTCGTGCAATGCGAGCTGTGTCCAGCCTACTGAACACTGACTACCATTCTTCCCATCTCAGCTCACAGGCTGCCAAGTTTCTGGCTGCATCTGAATAGTATGTAACACAAAGAAACTGGTAACTGAAGTGGGACTCATTTGACCACTGCCCACTGAATTATTTTCAATCAAAATCTTAATTTATGCTGTAGTTATAGTACACCAAAAATACCCAGAAAACATTTGCATAATGATTTGGGGTGAAAACTTTTAAAAGACAAGCTGAGGTGGGTTTATGCTACAGTATTCACAGTGGAACAGCCTGAAACCTGCGACAGTGAGAGAGTATAGTGCAGTTTCTGTCCTCGGGGCTCTTAGAGGAAACTCCTGCTGCTCTCCTATGAGGAATCTGTCAGTGGTGTAAGATGACCTGTCGTAACCCCTCTCTGGCCCCATTAGGGAAATTTAGTACGATGACCATTTATTGGATAGCAGGCTTTAGTTCACTTATCTTATTCCAACTATTTTCCATTCAGACATACAGTATATATGGTTGTGGCTGGCGGAGAGCGGGTTGTTCTCTAACTGCAGGCTTTTTCAGTCCACATGTCGGACAATGGACCTCAAGTTGCTCAAGTGTGGGAATGCTTGTGTGAGTATCTTTGTACCAGTTTCAGTACCTCTAAAATGCTAGTATGACCATTAAATCACACTATTCTCCTTGCCAAAAAAAAAAAGCGATTACTGTTAGAGTTACCTCTTCTCTATCACAGCTGTCTTCCCTTGCTAAGCTGCATTGACCAATAGCAGAAACCAGTAAAAGTTTGAAATGCATTGTTATCTGGTAGCTAGATAGCTCGGTGGTTAACGCTACTGACTTTGGTGCGGCAGTTCAGGGTTCGATTCTCTGTCAAGGCATGATAGATCGTTTTGTGGGAAGATAGGTGGGAAGGAAGAGAGATAGATGGGGGCAGGATAGAGTGAGGTTAGGTGGGTAGATGGGAGAGAGAAGGGGAGATGGGAGGCAGGATAGATAGACAAGATGGACAGCATAGAAGGGGCGGGATGGAAGGCAGCATAGATAGATAGAGAAGGTAAGGGGGGATGGGAAGTAGGATATATAGACACGATGGACAGCATAGAAGGGGCAGGATGGAAGGCAGCATAGATAGAGAAGAGGTGGGAGGGGAGGAAGAGAGAGAGAGAGATAGATGGAAGGCAGGATAGAGTGAGGTTAGGTGGGAGGATAGATAGATAGAGGAGGGAGAGAGAGCAATGGAAGGTAACATAAATAGGGGAGTAGATAGATGAATAGATAGAGAGGGTAAGGCTACGGTTCTCTGTCAAGGCATGATTTTTATCTATATCTCCTCCCCTATCTATGCTGCCTTTTTATCTATCTATCTCTCCCCTCCCTCCCCTATCTATGCTGCCTTCCATCTTCCCACCTACCTCTTCTCTATCTATCTATCTATCCTGCCTTCCATCTACCTACCCACCTAACCTCACTCTATCCTGCCCCCATCTATCTCTCTTCCTCCCCTCCCACCCTACCTACCTCTTCTCTATTTATGCTGCCTTCCATCCCCCCCTTCTATGCTGTCCATCTTGTCTATCTATCCTGCCTCCCATCTACCTACCTAACCTCACTCTATCCTCTCTTCCCTCCCACCTATCTTCCCACAAAACGATCCATCATGCCTTGACAGAGAATCGAACCCTGACCTGCCGTACCAAAGTCAGTAGCGTTAACCACCAAGCTATCTAGCTACTGCATAGCTATACATTTCAAACTTTTACTGGTTTCTGCTATTGGTCAATGCAGCTTAGCAGGGGAAAAGTGGTGAGGCACACAGAAACATTAAAATTAACATGGTCCCACACCAATGTTCATACAGTAAAAGACACACACACACAAAATAAACACCCAAACATACACAGTCAAAGCATTACAGTGTCGCATAGTAACACAGACAGAGGTCGGTGTTTACCGGTAGGTTAAGGTTTAGGTTGGGCAAATCTCAAGGGGGGGAGCACATATCAATACAACGATACTGTGTACCGGCCCACTTCGAGTACTGTTCACATAGGTGGATTTTATATTTTGCTAGGTGGTAAAAATCATTATACAATTTGTTATAATGAATTAAACTTAGGGCAAAACTGTATTTAGGTTGTCTTTTCAAAATGCCATAGTCAACATTATTCGAAGCAAAAAGAGACTTGCAGGAGAAACATTTGCACTGCTACGTTTTAATGTTAAATTGCTATTATTCACCAACATTGAGGTTGTAACTGACAAATGATACATAATGTGATGTTAACGGCAGCTCAGGAGAAGTTTCAGTAGTAATAGTTCAGGGATAAAACTGTATTTACAAATATGAATGATTAGATACCATCGAGAGACAAATGTCAGTTATTGGAATCAAAAATAGGATCATTTATAAGTACGTTCAAGCATCGCCAAGATTCCACTTGGGGAAATTTTTCACAAAAACATTTGAAAGCATAAAACAAAAGCACAAACATCACGCACATTTCATTCAAGGGCTATCAGACAAATGTACAGTGCTTTCATCACAGATATCCAAAAATGTTTTTATTGCACATTCTCACCTGGTAACAGTGAGTTTTTAGGTACAATTCTGTTAACATGATTGAAACAAATATTCATCTTAAGTCACCAATAATTAAAATGTCTTATGTTCTACTAGTAACAACACCTCCAGTAATATTTAAAGACAGGACAGTGCACTGTTACTTTGGGAACATACCACCTCCTGTACAACTTTATCAGGGATAGTGGAGCATCACCAACTTCAGCTGTTACAGTACAGCAGCCCACTGTGAGTTGTAGAGGCTTGTATGCACCATCTGTGGACTGATCAAGAATGTATTCCTATTGTTTTAATAAAAACGAATAGGTAGAGTTACAATGGACTCAGGATTAGTGCCACAAGCTGTAACAGCTGTCTTCTGTGCAGCATTAAGGAGCAAAAAAGTTGAGTCAAATGTAAACAGCTGGTACAAACTGACAATTTTGTTTTTACAGTTTACGTCTGAAATCATCTGCTTAAACATTCAACACCCTCTGCACCAACTTAGTGATCACCTAGTGTGCAGATGTAATCCAAAATGTCAATGTTTCAACATTAGATTTAACTTCAACACAACCACATTAAAGGTAACCTTTCCATCATCTTTTCAGATTTTGATTACATGATTTGCCTTTGAGATTATGATCAATAACAGTAATTCAAAATCAATCTGAATTCTTGTAGCCGTTACTGTACATCAGGCTAGCTATGCAATATAAATCCTGTTTATATTATGCTGCATTTTAGCAGAGTTAATGAGATAATATAATATACATTATTAAATGATATATATCAGCAGGATGAAATAGAAATTCAACTTTTTCTAAAGTTGACCTTTTCTTGTGGAACCTGCTCAAAAAGTTTCCAAAATCTGGCAGGTTTATACTTTGTAAACATGTATAAACTACCAGTGACGTTTTGATGCTTGATGGTAGAAACGTAAAGTACACAAAGGTTTAGGCAATTCAGTGATTTGTTATTAGCACTAATATGAAAACAAGGACAGGTGCAGATGCCTAAATGGTACATTTAATAATAAGACTTTCAGGTAGTCGTCAGTAAGATTGGGAGCTCTCTTATACAGTGCATGGTCATTCCGTTTGACACTTAAGTACAAAAAAAAAAAAAAAAGGAAAACAAAACATTGGTGCTGTACCTTTAAAATGCATGGAAGATGAATTTCCTGTTATTGATACGTTCATGCCTTTTGTTTGCTCAGTAGAGATTGTTGATTAAAGAGCTTTAGGAAGGGGATAAGCTAAGCATTAAAAACTTTACCATCTATCACGCAGAAAAAAATGTAAAACTACACAGATGACTGAGCATAAAAATTTATGTACAATTATTGTACAAACCACTTTTCAAGTAAATGTGAGCGTAGAGGAATCAGGCTTTCTGGCAGCCTTCAATTTATAATTGTTACCATGTTGTTTACGGAATAGTTGAAC